GCTGGCCCTGGCCCCGGCCCCGGGCAGACCCACCCTGGCAGGGGCTGCACTGGCAGCTGTGGATGACCGGCAGCAGCGCGGGCTCCGTGCGGCCGCCCGGACAGCGTAGGCTCAGGATCCGCACGGGGTTCTCCGGGTCCAGGCGGTAGCTACAGCAGTCGCACTGGCTCTGCAGGTACGGCTCCTGGGCGAGAAGGGGTGGCTGAGCTGGAGAGGGGCCCAACGGAGTTTGCCCAAACCACCTCCCTTCCCTCCCTTGGTCTTTCCATCCAAGAGAGGCTGGGGCTGAGGGGAGGCCAGATCCAATTCCCCTCACCCAGCAGGGAAGCCTGCAGGAGGGATGTGTGGAGGCTAAGCCCACCCCCTCCAGGAAGCCCACCTCCTTCACTCCAGCCCTCACCTGTCTGAGCATCCAACAGTTTAAAGGAATGCTTTAAACACACCCATCACTGCACCCTGGCAGAAATGGGGGACACAGCCTCTACTGCAAGGGGCTTGCAGTCTAGTTGGAGGCACAGACTAATAATATATGAAACTGCATGTAACCAAGCCCCAAACTGCGTGGTTCTGACCCAAAGTACAAAGTAAGTTCTCCCTCCTCACAGCCGCCTCTTGCTCTATGACTATATGGTAACTCTATACAAGTCCCACTGAACGGTTGATTTGTTTCTATAATTCTATCTTTATTTTGAAATAGGTAACATTCACAATTTACCTTCTAGAAACTACAAAAGATATTTTTTTTAACTACAAAGGATTCAGTAAAAAATAAAAAAATCTCCCTTTGACTTCTATCCCACTATCATTTATTTTTCCTCCCCAGAAAAAATATCTTTACTATCTTTTACTATTTTTAAAAATCCCAAATTGACTTGGGGAGGCATTTTCAGGAGGTGCAGGGATCTGGCCAGAGGAGCAGGACAGTGGCCTGGGGTTGGGGAGCAGGTAGGAAGCACCTTCGCCTTCTGGGAATAGATGACTCAGGTGGGCCTGGGCAGGAGGGAATGACCCCAGGTGACAGGAGGCAGGGCCTGGAGCCATGGCTCCGTTCTGTCTGGAACCTGGCAGGACAGAGCCAGATCCACACACAGGTCTCCAGGCTGAGGGCTACAGGATTCAGGGTGGGCACAAAGTCCCTGAGAATGTCCGCACAAGGAGCAGGGCTGGGTCTTCTGGGTCAAGGAGAGCATGCGCAGAGCAGAGCCTTGCCAGCCTTCCAGGACATACTCAAAAACGTCTGAGACCAGGCTGTGTGCACAGTCTGTCCCTAGGAGCTTCCCTCACTGTGTGATAGGCTCCCACTTAAAGCCGACTTAGCCCCTCTGTGCCTTTCTTCATTGGGGTCCTGGCTCGCTTGCCTTGAGGGGCCCAGTGGGCTGAGGAGGGAGCTGGGAACTGCATGGGCCACAGCAGGAGAGGCAGGAGGGGACTCCCTGGAGGGGCAGAGGTGCACAGCAGGCTCGGGAGCCCCCCCGTGATGAGGGTCAACGGGCCACACAGCAAGTGTTGGCCACATCATGGATCTGATCTGCTGTCTCCCCATGAGATCAACCATGTCCCTGTGTCACCTGGGCTCTCCTGCATTCTGTGCCTGGGGTGAGGGCTGAAGGGACTCCCCTGGGCCTGCACAGCAGCCCCCTTGCTGACCTCAGGCATGACGTTGGTGCTGGATGGGCAGTGCCCACTGCAGTAGCTCACTTCCACCTGGTCCAGGTAGCAGGGGCCCTTGGTGAGGTTTCGAAGCTCAGTGAGGCGCCGGCAGGAGGCTGACTGCTCCTCTGTGGGGCAGGCAGATAGAGAAGGGCAGCTGGGACTGTTTAAGGGGGACTGAGCTCAGACCTAAGGGGAGCATGTTGGGGTGGATGTGGCCAGGCGCCATGGTGCAGCACTGGGGTCCTCACCCTGCCAATCCCTGTGGTGGGCAGGGTTGGGGCAAGTGGGCCTCCCAGCGAGTGAAGGGGGAAGTTTGGTAGGAGGGCCCAGAGCAGGAAGAGGAGCTGTGGGAGGTGCCCCAGTTCCCCTCCATACCCAGAGACTCCTGGTGGCAGGCGGGACAGCAGCTCCCTGGCTCCTGCACAGTCACCTCGCCCTGCAGAAGGAGTGGCCCCCGGTCCACTCAGGAGAATGGCCCCATGCCCAGCACCACCTGCCTGAGCCCTAAGACCAGCTTCTGGGGACAGACCAGGAAGAAGCCTGGGGAGCCAGCCTGAGAGGGTAGCAGGCTGCAAGTGGGTACCTGGGCACAGGTGAGGAGGGGGCAGTGCTGGGTGCAGACGCTCCTCCCATTGAGGCAGTGGCAGCTCTCACAGGCCTCCTGCCATTCGGTTCCAGGCTGCAGAGAATGGAACATCCTCTCAGTCTCCACACCTCAGCTTGTAGACTTTTCTATAATACTATCCCCTCTCAACCCAGCCTGGGCGCCTAGTCAGGGCAAAGGACTGGGACTGGAGGTGGCAACAGTCTCATGGGGGAGGGGAGCCTTTGGGGCCCAGAGACTGCCCCAGTGCTGGGGAGCCACCTGCTGCCCCAGGCCCTAGAATAGGGACAGGAGGGAAGTCGGGTTGAGAAGGGGTAGGTGGCACAGAGGGGCAGAGGTATCTCACCGGGTGGGGACGCCCATGGTGCCAGCACTCGCAGTGATCTGCGGTCACGCAGGGGCCCGGCTGGCTGCGGAAGTACCCTGGCCGGCACAAGCAGCCTGGGGCCTGTCCCGCCCTACAATTGCCCCGAGTCTCCGTGGCATTGGGCTCCTGACATGTCCGCTCGCAGGGGCCCAGCTCCCCGGGGGCCACTTGCTGCCACATTTCTCCAGGGGGACACTCTGCCAGGGAAGACCACCCACACCCCACTCTCATCAGCCTTGGCTAGAGCTTCGATTCCACCCACATCGGGCACCCCTTCTTCCCTCCCCAGCACTGTCTACTCAGGTCCAGCAGCCTCTGGACTTCTAGGCCTCCAAACACACCTTATTCACCCTCACGAATACTATAGGCCCAGCTCAGGTCTCACCTCCTCTGGGAAGCCTCCCCTGACGAGTCCTATCCACCTGACCTCTCACTGGCAGCACCAGTTTCACATCCTGTGGGTGCTGCTTGCTTGTCAGCAAGCCAGACACTGTCTCCTATCTCCATCTGTCCTCGGCTGCCAGGCTGGGGGTGCCCGGGGCTCCCCATGCTTGTGTGTCCCTGAATCCACACAGAGCCCTGCGTGGCAGAACTGGGCACGTGTGGGACCTTAGCAAAGGCCTGTTGACCTTGACCAGACAGAGATGACACAGCACGGGGCAGATACCTCCACCTGGAGGCTGCCAAGCTGTTTCAGCTCACCCTCTACCTCAGTTTCCTCATCTGCAGAGAAAGGACCCTCCGCTGCCAGCATCACTCACAGCCCTGGCTCAGTGAGCACAGCGGGCTTGACCAACACCCCCAGCCACCCAAGGTGGACCATGCTGAGCGTCCAGGGAGCACAGGGCAGGGAGAGGTCAGTGTAGGCAGACAGGGGAAGGGGCCTCCTTAACAAGGTAGCTTTCCTTAGGGTGGGCAGGGCCTTCTCCCCTCCTCAAGGCCAGCCTGGCCTCGGCTTTGGGAGACCAGCCAGGGCCCAGACAGCACATATCTCACCCTGACAGTCAGTGAGGGAGCAGCTGAAGGCTCCACCTTGGCAGATACTGGAAAGACAGAAGCATGTGTCAGGGCCCTCCATGCCCTCCAACCCACCCCATTCTCAGCAACCCCACCCTCCACCCTCTCCCTATCCCAGCCCCCGCCCTGGCCCTCACCAGTGGGTGCAGTTCTGGCTGAGCACAGTCCCTGCGGGCAGCTCCCGAGCCTGCTCTTCAAGGGTCAAAGTGAAGCCCCAGGGAACAGAGAGCTGGGTGCAGGGACACGCAGCGGGGGGCACACACGTGCCATTGTGCAATAGCTGGGGCACCACAGGATCCAGTTACACTCAGACCACTGCCTCCTCGCCCCCATGAGGGAGTCAGGCCCAGCACCCACACCTACCTGCTCTCCAGGGCAGTCACAGCCAAGCTGGCATGGTTCCCGCACACAGAGAGCGCCGGGCCAAAGATGCGAGCAGAGGTGCGGGCACGAAGTGGCACAGGTGCTGAGCACCTGGCCAGGCGAGCACTCTGGGGGAGCACACAGACAGTGAGGCAGGGTCCCAGGGAGGGGTTGCCTCCGGATCTGCCACCTGCCAGCTGGGTTGGGGGCCCAGGCTCCGCAGCCTTGGAGGGAAGCACAGGCTCCCATGGCCCAGGTACTCACCAGGGCAGGGCTGCGGGTTACATTCCTGTTGTTGCTCCATGTCCTGGGCCTGGCATGGTGCCCCCCTGGGACCCTCCTTGCAGCTCCGATGGCGCTCGCTGGTGCCCCCACCACAGGGTGCCGAGCAGCGGCTCCAGGCTGACCACGGCCCCAGAACTGGGCACTCGCGGTGTGGGCACACCAGGGACCCATTGACACAGGTGCTAGGGACAGGGGTGTTCAAAATGGGTCCAGGCCCTGAGTCACTGTGAGCAGAACCTTCGCTCCCCAGCAATGCCCATCACCCTGACTTGCCTGCCCCAGGCCTCCCACCTGCAGCACACACCTTCCCTCCCACACTTGGCCACTGGTGGGCAGCATACCAGGTTTTGCAGTCCAGCTGTACCACCTCGGCTGGGGCCAGCACCCAGGAGGCATTGGGGCTGGGCAGGCCACAGTGGCAGGAGGAGATGGGCACGCAGCGCCCGTCCTGCACAAGCTGACCAGGGGGACAACGGCAGCCTGGGGGAGGGGGAGGACAAGACTCAGTGCTCGGGCAGGTGCGTAGGACGGATCCCTCTGGCCACCAGATGGAGTCCAAAGCCTCAGGCTGGCACTGTGCACCCTTCCTCTTGTGGCCCCACAGGACCTGGTCTCCTCACCGTCTCCCATTGCCGCCCCAGGCACAGCCTGTGGTCACCCAGGCTCACTCTAGGCAGGGCCCCCAGCCGGCTGCCAAAGGTGACCTTTGCTGCCCTACAGCTCAGGATCCAGCAGTCATCCCACCCCCAGGTCATGGAGTGAAGCAGGCCTGGGCTCCCGCAGAGTTCCCAGGCCAGGCTGTGGGCATGGCCTGGCCACCTGGGCGGCACGGTCCCTGCAGACACTCCACACGGTCCCAGAGGTCAGCACAGCTTCTAGGACACTGGTTGGCACAGTCAAGGGTGGGCACGGTGTCCCGGGCCTCACAGCTCTCCCCTGAGAACCAGAAGGCAGGAGTCTGTGTTGGGGCCATTCTTGGGTCCCCAGGACAACACCCTGCCTCCCAGGGGGCAGAGGCACCATCCCCTTCAGATGCCATGTTGTGTGTTGCAGTCCCTGTCCCCTCCTCCAGACGCTGGGCCAGGGGTTACCTGGGCAGGGCCCCATGTTGCAGCCCTCAGTCTGAGCCCATGGTCCCCGGCAGCCTCCTCCAGGGATGTCCTTTGCCTCTCTCCAGCGCAGCCGGAACCCCCCACTGCAGGGCACCTGGCAGGGGCTCCAGGGCCCCCAAGGACTCCACTGGCACAAGTCTGGGAAGATAAAATGGAAATCAGTACTCAGAGCCCACCTCTCCTCAGCCTCCTGCTTCTACTCTAATGCCCTAGACTCACCCTGCAGACACCCTGGCATGCCCTGAGCCCCCGGTGCAGGACTGGCTGCTTGGCTAACTGCCTGGCCACGGAAATGAACATGGCCCAGCCCTGCCTGGCCCGGCCCCCCCTCCCTCCAGGCCCTTCCACCTGTTGGCACATGCCCCTCCCCATTACCGAGGCAGGCGCCAGGGTCTGGGCAGAGGCGGTGCTGGCTGAGCGGCAGGGAGCAGAGGTCTGGGTCCCCAGCCCAGGGCCTCCCTGTCTCAGGGTCCAAACAGAGGCGGTGACGGTGCTGCTCCGAAGCCAGCAGGGGGGCCGAGATTGGGGAGAGGTTGACTGGGTCCAGGGGCCACCGCTCCTCTAGGACAGCCCTGGAGGCAGGGGCCAGGATGCTGGCGGGCAGGCAGGGCCCACAGGGCGACCACTCGGACCAGCCACTCAGAGGCAGAAGACCTAGAACAGGCAGCATGTGGGCCCCTTCCCAGTGACCCTTCCCACACCCAGAGACCCCACTCCCACCCAGTGCGGAGGGAGGGAGGGGCTCAGGTTATGACCAGGAAGGCTGAGGAAAGGGGGGGGGGGAAGGGGCCAGGATGGGGTGACCAACCACCCTGGTTTGTCTGGGACAGTCCCAGTCCTACACTGAAAGTTCCGGGTCCCAGAAACACTCCGTGGGCAAAGGGGGACAGTTGGTCTCCTGGGCCCACAGTTACCTCTACAGCCCCCACTGGTGCACTGCAGCTCCCCGTGCTGGCATTCACTATGGGAGGGGCAGTCAGGGTTGGGGGCTCAGGTAGGGGTAACCTGAGCTCTGGGCTCATCTGGAGCCAGAGGAGGCTGGGGCTAAGCTTGGCCTTCTCTGCAGGGCGCCCTGCCCCCTCCCCAAGCCACTCTCTGCCTCCAGCCTTCTGGTGCTGCCTCCCCCCAGCTTCCCCCACACCAACTCCAGCCCCATCACTCACCACTCTTTGCAGCCCAGCCGCAGGTGGTCCCCAGGAGCCAAGGTCACCCTGGCTCCTTCTCCTGAGATGTGCTGGCAGTTACACTGCCCTGGGGGAATGCAGCCCCCGGCCTGCTCAAGCAGTCCCTGTGCAGGAGGGGACACAGGGACAGGGCTGTGTGACAGTCTCTATGCGTCCTAATGCCTGGCTCACAGCTGGTGCACGTGGACGTGGCTGAGTGAATAGATGGTAAATGGCCACGGACAGTGTGAACAGCTGTTAAGAGGGACCAAGTACAGAAGGTCTGCAGGAGAGGGGTCACTGTGGGCATCGTGGAGGGGAGTGTGGAAATGTGCACAGAGTACCCCCTTCTGGGGCATCTCCCCTAACTGCACCCCTTACCTCGGGGCAGTAGCAGCCAGGCTGGCAGGGCGGCAGGTCCTGGCAGAGCTGAGGGTTCAGGTGTGTGGCACAGAGCCCAGTGCAGGGGGAGCCACAGGCCCGGAACTCAAAGGGAGGCGTGCAGCTGTCCTCTGGGTGGAGGGAGGCAGACAGGTTGCTGGGCGACACCCTCCACCCTCCAAGCCCAGAGCACACAGTGCATGGTCCCTTGAGCCCCTTGGAATCACCTGGTAAGAGTACAAGACTGTCCCCTCTTGCATGACAGACCACAGTCACCCATCCAGCACCCCCTTGGCCCTGTGGTGCCTCGAGGGAAGGGGAGGGACACTGGGCCTTGGAAAGCCCAGAGCTGCATGGAGGATGGGGCTGTGGGGAGTTAGGAGCCTGGCAGGTGCTCCAGGGATGGCAGGTGGGAGAGGGAGGGGCAGAGATGGAGGGCAGCTACAATAGGAGGTGGCAAGGCCCGCTGTGTCTGGGCAAAGCCACAGGTGGGCCAGCAGCTGCCAAGTGGGAAAGTCATGGTGAAGACTCCGGAGTGGGGTGGGGAGGATAGAGAGTA